GCATGATTCTGAGAAGGGGCCCGTAGACGTCACCAAAGGGGCCCATGGCCCACAGACGTCATCAAAGGGGCCCATAGCCCACAAAAAGTTTAAGTAGCCTGATCCATGATCTCGGGCCCCTGTTGTTTCCTTCCATGCCTCCCAGATGCCATTGTGAAAGCGAATATAAATGATCCTGAAGAGCATTATCTTCAATAAAGGAGAGAAAGTAGAGCCAACCTAATAGCATCATCATACGCCGGAGCACCAAGGGAGAAGACAAACACGGCCTCCTTTTCTCACCATCAAGAGCCTGCCTGACAATAAGACGTTGCACCCTTTCTCACTCAGGCTTGTGGAAGGCAAAGGGGAACAGGTCTGTGCAGTGAGGCAGGTAAAGAAATGTCAGGCTTGCTCAGGGCAGAAGCACCCTTCGGCAAAGCAGCCAGGATTCTTCTGGTGCAGCCCTTTCCAGAGGCTCCCTACACCACCGTTCTGTAGTTATTCATGGAAGGGGACATAGTGGTTGCTGAATCTATCGTCAGCAGCTGCTGATGATATCTCTCGACAATGGAACCTAGCAGCCACCAAAAAAAAAAAGAAAAAAAAGAGGTAATATGACCCAAGACGACACAAGAAGAGGCCCGGAGTCGAGAACACATCTGGAGGGCTGGGCTAGTTCCGGGTTCCATCTTTTAGAATAGAGGCTGACAAGAAGTGCTCAGCAAAGGGTGATCCAGGATGGTGAGAGGAGAATGTCAGCTCCTTGAGGACAGGGGATGTCTCCGTTTTGTCTCTGTGGTCTCACTGCTCAGCATGGAGTCAGCACTTAATAAACGGTTGTTGAATGAGTGGGGGACTGGCACCATGCAAATGAAGGCTGATGGAGCCTGCAGAAGGGAAGACTTAGGAGAGGACATGAGAGCTATCTTCAATTACCTGAACAGCTAACGTTTGGGAAATGCTTGGCATTAGAGAGCGGAACCAGGACCAATATGTGGACGTTTTAGAGATAAATTTAGACTTGATTTAAGGGAAAATTTCTGAAGAGAGCGATCCAAAAGTAGACTGGGGGAGAGGGTCAGCTAGGTGGCGCAGTGGATAGAAAACCAGCTCTGGATTCAGGAGGACCTGAGTTCAAATCTGGCCTCGGACACACGACACTTACTAGCTGTGTGACCCTGGGTAAGTCACCTAACCCCATTGCCAAAAAAAAAGGTAGACTGGACTGTTGCAGGAAGCAGCAGATTCTGCCTCACCTGAGCTTTTAGTGAAGGTGGAATGACTCCTCCCAGGGGAGGTTGTAGAGGGAATTCTCGTCCAGGTGCTCATTGCACCATAGGCTCTCCCCAGTTCCAACTTCAAAATTCTGTGATTCTAACTCAAG